CTTTTATAGCTTCAGTCAGAGGATTCCTGGTAGATTACAACAACATAAAAAAGTGAAACAAGACAAAACAATACATAAATTCTAACACTCTCGCAAGATGGATACCTGAAGCAATTAATGTGGTAAGGACCTCTCTATGTAAAGAGGTATGGGGCAAACAAGTAGTTTCATGTGCCAAAAGGAAAAATCTGGACGAACCAAAGGAAGAAGAAAAATAGATTGTCTTCTTAAAGCTTCAGTCTGTCCTATGATTAAACCAAATTGCAATACCTTGCTAAAGAAATAAGCCATCTTTGGCAGGAGTACTTTATGTCAAGTCTGGAATGCCAGTCTGAGCAATACAATGACTATTTAAAAATATGACTATTTGTAAATAGTCGTTTTTCTGGACAGCTCTTGAGGCAATACTTCAGTTGTCTCTCAAGAAAATGAGGCCCTTCAAGGCTAGACATCTTTGAAAGTTTGGGAGGATTTACAGATTTCATCGAAGAAGTCCAACAACAGGTTCTTCTCTTTTACTGTGTCCTCAACCTCAGTTTCTGGTTGTTGTTTCTCCCCACCCACCCCTTTTTTAAAAAAAAAAATATTTCTACTCTTGGCCCTCTCCCTCACAGGATTTAAGCTCAACAGGTCCTGACTCTGGAAATATTCACTGCTTGATGATGATTACATTCCTCATTACAATCAACTAGGGTTAAAAGCTCTGTGGAAGTGGGCTGCATTGTTACTTTTCAAATACCATAAGGATGGAGATTTATGGACCTCCAAGAATAGAGAATGGGGGCTTAATAGAAAAGGAATGTTAGTTGATCCATATCTTGTCCACTGACAGAGATCCTTAGGGGGGCCTTCTCAAAATTTTATTATTGGATGGCAATGTTTGCAGATCTTCTTCTAGGGCTGCCAGGTGAGATGGTTTTTCATCCTCCATCCCACTTTTAGGAACTTCTCTTTCTCCCCAAACTCCGCGTACTGGCTTTTCTCTTTTGCTCCTCCTTGCTAAACGGAGAAGTGACTTTGCTGCCCATCCAACAGTGGTTGGCTTGGGCTGTTTATTCTTTTGCCACAGGAAGTTATTGCAATGAAGGGAAGGGCCTCTGATTTTGGGCACTTCCCCACTGTTGGCTTATGGGAGTCATAAACAGCTTTAATGGATATTTGAGTTGTAGTCCAAGAAGAAAAGTGTGGCTGTATCCTTAGATACCATCACTTGAAGAAATAAATGCAATTATCAGCAAAGTTCATAACAAAAATTCACATCCAAAAGGACTGGATTACTCTATCTGATCTTAGGAAGCCACTTTCTAGCTGATGTCTTTCATTGGGTGCGTATTTGTAGCTGAGTAGCTGAGTAAGATCCTACCAGTATAAGTACTTGAAGAACTTTTCTTAACAAAGGTCCAGTCCAACAGTACTTGCATACTAATATCTCCTCGAGAATATAAACTTGGGAAAAAGCATTTTGATTAATTGGTAATAGGCAAAATTAGGAAATAAAAACACCTGGACAATTTGAAATCTGGCCATAATTTTCAGACAGTATACTATAGGGTTTTTCTTCTTCTTCTTAACTGTGCTAGAGTTAGAGGGAATAAAAATCTAATTTTAGAAGATAATATACCTACTTAGAAGTGCTTCTTTATTACAATCAAATAAAAATTGTTTTTGGGTCAATACTGTACAAAGTAATGGATTAGATGTTATTTCGTGTGTCATGTCCTATCTGAGAAAGGTTTATGGCTATTCATGGGTATCATAAAATGTCAACCATATTTAGAAATACAAGTTCAACATGTAACATATTTCATAGCTTCAAAACACTGAAAATCCTAGCCACTAAGAGTACAATACGGTAACTGCTACAACAAAAGAAATTTTATCTGGATTTTGACAAATTCTACTGCATATACCTTCCATTACACTATGATTTTCCACCAATATAAAAGTAACTAAGTCAAATGCATAGAGGCTATTTACCTCAATTTAAGCATTTTTTTTATTTAAAAAAACCCATATTTTTATAAGAGATAATTAAAATTGTGGTAAACTTTCATTCTGAGTCATTTTTTTGTCTGGTTCATATCCTTAATATTGTAGAGAACTTTAAGTTGCACTTATCTTTTGGCTCACACACATTATTTAATTTTGCAATTATTTTCCAAGAATCTTTAAAGTACTATAAAAATGGAGTAGTAGATTTCCACAGCTGACCCCAAACTTTTATAAATAGAAGCATTTTTTAAATACAACGCAGTGGATTCAAATAAAAAAAAAATCAGCACTATAACCCAAGGTATTTACTAAGAAACAGAATATAGGTTACAATTTCTCAAAATAGGTACAAGGGGAAAATAACAAGACAGTCAGAAAGTAGGATATATAAGCAGGTAAAATGAAATATAGGCTAATATAAAAACAAACATCTCACTTTTAAAATAGTGAAGCAAGAAAGCATGCATCATACATTTAAGCTCATAATGCAAAATGCAGCGCAGGTGGCTAAATCTGCAGAAGTTTCAGATATATAATTCTGGCCTCTCCAAAAAAGGAAAGGAAGGGCATGATTTAATCCCCCAGGAATATGACTATTCTTACACATTATGTTATGTAAATGTAAGTTACCACCTTAGGAACAAACTCATGGCTCAGCTAAGCATCTGCTAGATTCTAAGCATTCTAAGAAACAGGATAAAAATCCTCCTATTTGGAGGCGTAGTTCAAACTATAATGAGCTCTGAAACAAGGTGTGTTGGCAATTTTTCAGCAGAGGGAAGTGGAGGGTTATTGTTAGATTTGTCTATCCTCGAATCAGAATAATGGGGTCCAGGTATTGGTACATCTGCAGTGATTGGATGAATCAGAAAGCAGATTCTAGCATATATAACTAATGATTGGGCGGAAAAATTGTGACCATTTCTTGTTTTCCTGGTTGGGGGAAATCATAGTAAAATAAAAGGTGGTAGTTTCAGTTCTCTCCCTTGCATAATTGGTGCTAGGAGGCACTGCCAGCTCTGACATTTAAAAACAAGAAAGATACAGGCTGTCATCAATACAGAATTCCTTTTAAGGGACAGGGAACGGTAACTACCACCACAATTTGAGCTGTTGTTGGCTAAACAAATTGATTCTCACCCTCAAGATGAAGGAGGAATAGCAAGCTGGTCCCACTCATTATGATACACACAAATGAAGTCAGCAAGCTGCAAATATTTTTTTCTTCCTCTCCTTGAACATATTTGAAATGCTGTCATCAAAACCCTCTCCCTGAGAACAGAGTGGGAGGGTTGGACCACTCTGTTTTCGTACGTATCTCTGTTATTTCAACAGCATCACATTATCTCCAAATAATGGTAACCGATTATCTCCAAAAGACTGTATAATATAGTCTTGATACTCTCTGACTGTAATATGTACAGCACTGGAAAAAAAGAGGAATAACTCTTGATCTCCCTACTACTGAGATGTTTACCTATTTCAGGCAGATATTCCTGGAATTCTAGAAGCCCAGGTGTGCCCACAAGAGAACCACTTAGTACTATAATTAAGGTAGAATGCTATGGATAATCTCTGTATCTGAGCATTATCTGAGCACTTCTCCAACAATACTACATTGTTCAAACAGACCTTACCCGGAGACCCATACATTTTTAGCTCTCCCCCACCCCTCACATGGAAATAGCCTGGAGATAAAATAATCTCATTATCAATGTTCATATTAATTTATTTTATTGTGTTTTCTGAAATTTTACAAATACCCTGTTTCCCCGAAAATAAGATATCCCCTGATAATAAGCCCAATCGGGCCTTTGAGCGCATGTGCTAAAATAAGCCTCCCCCCGAAAATAAGCCCTCCCTGAAAATATTTAAACGCAGAGCTGGAAATCAGGTAAGGCGGCAAGAGGAGCCCTATCTTGCTCCATGTGCCCCAAAATAATAAGACCTCCCCAAAAATAAGGCCAGCGCTTATTTTGGGGTTTTAAAAAATATAAAACAGGATCTTATTTTCAGGGAAACACGGTAGCAATAGCAATAAGACTTATATACCGCTTCATAATGCTTTTACAGCCCTCTCTAAGCGGTTTACAGAGTCAGCATATTGCCCCCAACAATCTGGGTCCTCATTTTACCCACCTCGGAAGGATGGAAGGCTGAGTCAACCTTGAGCCGCTGAGATCTGAACTGCCGAACTGCAGCTAGCAGTCAGTTGTAGTAGCCTGCAGTACTGCACTATAACCACTGTGCCACCTCAGCTCTTCTATGCTGTTAAATACACCCAAAGTGAAATCACAACTCATTCTCTAGTTTTCAAAAACAAACAAATAAACAAACAAACAAATCTTTTCCGTGAAGGTACAACTATTGCATGGTAAACTTGGAAAGATTATTTCAGAAACCCCGCTTAAGGAATTATTTAATATTCAAAGAAAGGGAAATAAGGAGGATGAACTGAGAGAAGCACTAAAAAAAGGAAAGGCAGAAGGCACATAAGAATTGGAGCTTGTAGTTTTCTAAAACTGATTATTTGATAATGGTATATTTGAACTGATTCTTTTTGGCTCTGGTTTTTGTACAAAGGAGACTGGCAAAGGATATAGAAATAATACAGAAGTAGTTATTTCGTATGCAAACTATCTAATCTGGCTAAAATACAATACAATAAATAAAATTAAATAGTCCAAATGAATATTTACTTTGTCATTGTATGAGACAGTAAGAAGAATTGTCAATACGTTCCTGTTTGCAATGTATTGTTATATTTATGTTTTATGAGTACATCTACTGTAATTAAACATTTTTATGTAATTAAACATTTCTGTATCCAAGGATAGGAAGATCCACTTAACAACAATTGCTTGTTTTAGATTTCGCAGTTACAAATACAAAACTTTTTTTTTTTTTTTTTGCCAAACCAGCTGTTTCATATACTAAGAAATGAAACTGGAATAAATTTCTTTCTGAAGCCTTATAAAGTTGCCAGGAAGGGATGCCAGAGGCCTTACCTGTTACACTTTCTTCAAAAGTCCAGTCCTTGCTGCCAACCATGCAAAGCTTTTGGCCACTGGTTGAAAGCAAAATGGAGTGTTCGACCATGATAATCCTGACTTGTTATGGATGATAGATTCCTTCAGGGCAGCATGTTCTAGCTTCTTGAAATATATCCTATAAAATATCAAGAAACAATCCCTTAGTCCAAGGAGATCTTTTGATATTTTTATGGACTTGATGAAACAAATTAATCAAAGACAGTCAAAACAGGCCCAAAACCTTCTCAACAATCTTCCTTCCAGAACTTTAACTAGACTCTCTACTTCCTCAGGGTCAATTATGCTTCCCAGAAAACCTTGCCAGACCATATATCTCAGTCAAATTCAATTGCAGCTGCACAGCTGAAGTCTAACTCAAAGTGAGCTCCCACAACTTTATTCAAAAGATATCTCAAGTAATCCTTGCAGCAGCTCTTTACATAGTTTTCTGACCCATCTGTCCCTAAGACTGATTAGGTTACTTTAATAGAATAACAAGAGCTGGGAGCAGGGATGGGTTCTACTTACCTTTACATACTGGTTCGCAACGGAGCCGTGCACATGCTCTTCTGCGCATGCGCAGAAGCATTTTGGTGATGTCAGGGTCGGTGGGCGGGGCCTCCCACCAGTTTTACTACCAGTTCTATAGAACCGGTGAGAATCGGGGGCAACCCACCACTGGTTGGGAGGGACAGTCTAGTCCAACCCTCTGCTCAAGTGGGAAACTCTATTTCATTTCAGACAAATGGTTGTCTAATCTCTTTTTAAAAATTTCCAGTGTTGGAGCACTCACAACTTTAAAAAAGACCAGCATATTGATTTAAAACCTGAGATATTCCTGTTGGAGATTTTACCAGAAAATTATAGTAAAGAAAATGTATATTTGATTATTCATGCAATAATCATGGCTAGAATTGTATTTGTAAAGAATTGGAAAGGTGAAGAGATTCCTACAGACGAAAATGTGATTAGAATGTGCAGAAATGAATAGATTAACACTTGCAATTAAAGGAAAGGAAGAATCTGATTATTATAATATATGGAATTTATTTTATCAATGGTTAGAGAATAAATATGAAAGTAATATATAATAAAGTTAAGTAAGTTATGAAAATGTTACAACAATAGAAATGTTAAGTATTAAGTATTAGTATTAAAATAAGAGTAGATATAGACAATGAATATCGTGGTAAGCTTTAACTGTTATGACACAAAAAAATTGTACCCAGACGATACACTGTTTAATGAATGATGGAATATTTGTATTAAAAGAAAATAATTAAAAAAAAAAAACCTTTAAAAAAGACCACTGGATATAGCACTTTATTATTTTCAAAAGAACTACACTGCCTACAAATATCAATCCATTCTGCTGGCTGGGGGATTCTGGGAGTTGAAGTCCACCCATCTTCAAGCTACCAAGGTTGAGAAACACTGACTTAATGCTAGAAGCAGAAGCGAGGTTTTAAGTCAGGCACAGTCAGGTGTTTCCCTTAATGACCTTATCACTTAGCAATGGGGTTGCCAGTCCTGATTGCAATCAATAAGAAAGGATTACTTGTAAAATATTTACTTGCGCGAAGAAGGAAACTGGATTAGCATATAGGCTAAAACAAAAGAAGGGACGATGAAATTCTCTATGGCTGTTTCAAAATTGCTCCCATACGAGCAAGACAGCTCATTCTGTGTCAGATTACGTTATTTCTTCTTCCTCTCCTGTTTTAGTTCTGGGATAATTTAGAAAGATCCTTCACAGAAAGGTAGGGTATTAAAAAGAGAACATTTTTTTGTCCACGGAGCTTGGAGATTTCCGCATTAGCAGAAGCCTTTTATTAGGCTTAGGTGATTTAATGTAATCAGTTTCTTAACAAAGCCCTAAAGAGGCTCAGTTAAAATAATGATTGAGAACAGCAGAGTAGAAATCCAGGCACGTATATCAGTAACAAAACTGCAGATACCAGATTGACTTGTAATATAACCATCAATACTGAAACGGAGCCAAGAAATGTAATACACATCTTTTCCTGATCTCCCACCCCTTTCTCAATTCTTTGTCTGAATACTGAATAAAAACCAGCAGGAAACATTTACCTGGCTAGTCTAAAAGTTCACTCAGAAATCCAACAACCAACCATTTCTTTTTCTCCAAATAAAACAAATGATGTTCAGTTACAATCTTGGCATTTCTCTTCTCCTGGAAATGTGGCCAACCGCGCAACGTATTGTAGCAAACTAACTCCCACAAAGAAAACATTTCATTTTTTTTTTACTTATTCCCACTGATAATTTTCCCTTATAGAATACAACAAGAGGAAAAACTGTATCAGAATTTAAATAACTGCAGATTCCCTCCCCCCGCCCACTTTCTTTAAAACTTTGCGTATTGTTTTCCTTTGTTTGTTTTTGGCATTCAAATAATAAAAAGCATATAAAAATAAAATGATTTATTATATACTGATTGCAAAAACAGTCACAGAGTAATATTTGCTAAGAGACTCGCTAAGAATCAAGATCCAATTTGTGTAGTTTGTGTGTATATTCATTCTCCCTTCCCTTCCCTTCCCTTCCCTTCCCTTCCCCAGATTGAAGGCCTATTGTTCTTTGACAAAAGAATGATGAGGAAAATCATAAGGAAATACTTTTTCATATGGGGAATATGAAATTTCATAATTTGTCACTACATCTCAGCATTCTAAATTCCAGTCTCAAAGCCAATATCTCTTAGGAACTCATCAAGATGTACCTTCAACCAGGTCTGCCACCGAGAACAGGTAATGGTATCTACACACCATTTCTACCCTTCACACCATCCTACTTCTGGATGTGGTGTTGTTGCCAGAAGTGAGCAGACTTGTTTCTTTTGCATTTTTTTAGCAGCCCCCCCCCCACCTCCCCGAATGGTGAATCCCCTGGCAAGGATTGTGTTTTAGCATTTTTAAAAAATGCTAAAATAGCTGTGTTAAATTGTGGATAGTCTTGGTGCATCTATTTTAGCAAGTTATACACACATAAAACATATGTGAGAAAAAAGAGGGTGGAAATGAAAAAGGATGGTCTCCCTTGAGGGACTTTATTGACTTGTATATGACACTAATCTTTTGTTGTTTTTATAAAGCATGGTTGATTGCCATAAGGATATTTTCTGCTCCTTGTTAATATGGCTGATTAAAATGAAAAGTTTAGATATGCCCCTTTGGGAGATCATGCCACTAGTTTATAAAAGCAAATATTTGAGCATTACCCTTTAGTCCTTGCTGCACTTGTAACATAAATCTCACCTAGAAAGAAAAAACATAAAGTAGGAAAATTGGGAGAAGATATTCATACTTCCCTTATTTAGCACTAGTTCCAGTAGGACATCTAAATGCCATTACTCAGATCACTCTCAATGGATTTATGCCATGTGAGGGAATACAACTGGGGTTGCTATCTGCATTTGGGAAAAGTTCCTGCAGCCAGACACCAACTCTTCCCACCCATTCCCCTATTCCAAGGATTGGCTCATCTCATCTCTTCTCTCAAAGAGCAGCAAAAGTTTACAGCCCCAGAAACCAGATAGGATCCTAACTTTTCAAGATCTTGTTTGTCTGTGGATTTTTTGTTGTTGTTGCTTTTGTTTGGGGTGGTTAAAAGAGTAAAATAGGAACAGTTGGGCATTTGGCTTGACGCTAGAAAGAGTGCAGAGAAGAACAACAAGATGAATAGATGATTGGGGGCTAAAACATATGAAGAACGGTTGCAGCAATTGGGCATGTCTAATTTAATGAAAAGAAGGACTAGGGATGACATGATAGCAGTATTGCAATATCTAAGGGGCTGCCACAAAGAAGGGAGGATGTCAATCTGTTCTCCAAAGCACCTGAAGGCAGGACAAGAAGCCTTGGAAGGAAACTAATCAAGGAGAGAAGCAACCTAGAACTAAGGAGAAATTTCCTGACAGTTAGAACAATTAATCAGTGGAATGACTTGCCTCCAGAAGTTGTGGGTGCTCCAACATTCAAGATTTTTAAGAAGAGATTGGACAACCCTTAGTCTGAAATATATATAAATTTCCTGCTTTGAGCAGGGGGTTGGGCTACAAGACCTCCAAGGTCCCTTCCAACTCTGTTATTCAGGTGATATCTCTTCCTCTTGCTCCAAAGTATAACATACAGTAAATAAAATAAAATATTGATTAAGGACACTTCTATGATGTGTAGGTGTCCTGTATGCCAACAAAACCCAGTGTGGCTTTTGAACTGGCAAGGACTGTGGAGCTTATATACTATGCCAATATGGAAGCAACTACTGGAGAAGTATTCCAGTTGTTAGCCAGCTACTTCATAGAATATCCGACCCTTTTCCAAAGCTTCAGATAATAGTTGTTTCAGCACTGCACCGTTGTGATACTATATGCCTGTCTTTGTCTGATAATGGCTGAATTCTACAGATCATTTCCTCCAAATAATTTATGACTCAAATATTTCACCACTTCCAAAGTGAAAATAGAAAAATAAGGATGGTAGACAACTGCTCGTTTCAAGTGATGCCTAGTTAATTTCTTACAAAAAGAGAGAGAGAGAGAGAGAGACACTGGACACATAACAACGAAGACACTTCAAACAGCTTTATGTTAACAATGTAAGTATCTCCTTACCTTATAACCTACAAGGGGAGTCTGTTATATGAAAGCCAACCAACCATAGTTTGACTGCTGGATTTGAACCCAGTAAAAGCAGATGGATGAGCTTCCCTTAACTCTTACAATTATTGATGTGCACCAGATTGGTCCATGAGAGACTGCAGGTCGACCGTCTACTAGAAAATAGGCTTCTTCGTATCATGGGAAAAGCAAAAACCTTGCAGCTTGCAAAGTTATATTTCCAGTGATTCCACACAATATCATATCTCTGCTGTGTTTAACTGCTGGAGCTGTTAAGTAAAATCTGCTGTTGCCAACATAGATACTGATTTAATGGGTGTTAGAAAAATGACTCACTGTCATTATTTGGGGCTAAAACTCATATTGAGAGCATAGAAGGATATAAAATCTAGATTTCTGTAGATTACTCAGTGGTTGAATAATTTACACTGTGACTGGACAAAACACTAGAGAATTTGCTCTCGGAAACAGCCTTGATTTCATGAAAGGTTGTG